TTATGTCCTCCTGGAAGTTAATCTCTTTGGTAGTCTGGTGTAGTCTTCTTTGGGGTCATTTCCTAATGATGGAATTATATCAATGTCATGTTAAACCATTTCACCTTTCCCCAAACCTTTGTTGTAATCTTGTCCCCACTAGTGGGTATTACTGTTGTGAGGTTGCCAGGGGTGGGGGTGGGAGTGTGGGGGGAGAGTGGCTGCTGGGTCTCAGCCTCACTACTCATGCTGTGAGGTGGTGGTAAAGGTGGGGCTTGATGCAAGCAGTGGTAGCTCCTCTTATATAGTGATGGTGGCCAGCAGGGCAGCTCATGTCTCTGCTGTCCATTCTCTACTTTACCAATTAAACTCAGTCTTTCTCTTTTTCATATCCAATGACAACACTGTAGATGCACTGCTTGGATCTCCCTTTAAGAAAGAACTTCTTTAGCCCTAGCCAGTTTGGCTTAGTGGATAGGGTGTTGGCCTGCAGACTGAAGGGTCCCAGGTTCAATTCCAGTCAAGGGCACATGCCAGGGTTGCGACCTCGATTCCCAGTAGGGGGCGTGCAGGAGGCAGCCAATCAATGATTCTCTCTCATCATTGATGTTTCTGTCTCTCCCTCTCCCTTCCTCTCTGAAATCAATAAACAATATTAAGGAAGGAAGGGAGGGAGGGAGGGAGAGGGGAGAACTTCTTTAGCTCCAGGGAGTGCATTTAGCTGACAGACTTCAGCTGTTAATACCTTTAGGCTCCTTAGCTTTTTTAAAAATAATTTATTATTAAAAGTATTACAGATGTCCCATTTTCCCCCATTGATGTCTTCCCTCCTGACTCCCCCAGGCCTTCACTACACACTACTTAGCTTTTGAGTTGAGGTCTTGCTTTTCCTGGGAGTCCTTAGCCAGTGACTGAGCACCCTGTGGGTACTGGGATATTTCTCTTTTGGTTCAGTGTGGGACTCCTCCAATCAGCAGTCTTTGCTCTGGAGCTCCTTGCTGGATTGGCCAAGACTTTGTCACATCTGTATCAAGGTCTGAGGCTCTCTCTGTGCAAACCTGCATTTATATCTGTTGGTAATTGCATGGAAACACCATCTGTACTCCTTTCTTCAACAACCTCCACAGGTTTCAGATCTCTATCATGATCTGAAAGTCATCCATGCCCAGTCCTATTTCTTCCTTCTTTTAACTTTCACAATAAACCTCTTATCCTGTCTCAACATCTGCTTCCCAGAGGACCCAACTGATCCGTAATACATAGCACTGGTTATTTACTTAATTTCTGTCCAAACCAAATTGCAGTGAGTGTTTATTTAATTTTTAAAGCCCCCCTTTTGTGTCATCCCAGTACCTTCCAGCTCATCGTTTTCCTCCCTCCAAACATCTGCCTTTCCTCTAAAGTCTGCTTACCTCAGTAAATGGCACCACTCTCTACTCTTTTGCATTTACATTTTGCCTTTCACATTTAAGTCCTTGATCTATCTAGAACTTTTGAGGGGTGACAGAGTGGGAGAGTATTGTTTGAGATAGGGATCAGGCAGCAAAATGGAGAATTACCAATCAAGGATGAATGAGATCACAGAAGAAATGAGTGGTCAGATCATGTAGGGGTTTGTTATAGGTCACAAAAAGATCATTGGAAGAACTTCGGTTTTTACTCTTGTGTGAGATGGGGAGCCACTAGAAAGTTTTGAGCAAAGGGGTATAATATAATCTGACTTAGTTTTTACTAGAAATGTATAGGCTTTCTATGGAGAATAGACATAAGGGCACATAGGGTGGAAGCAAGGAAACTGACAAGTTGGGAGAGAATCTAGGCTCCAGGCATGGGTGGCTTGCACCAAGTTGCTTGCAGAGGAATCAGCAAGAATTGATTGTGTGGGGCTAAGACTTGGGCATCATCATTTTATTTTGAAAAAGCTCCCTAGGAGTTTCTGATGTACAATGAGGTTTGAGAATCTATGCTACAGTTTATAAATTTTTTCAGGGGTGCTTCACATAGGCTTCTTCATCAGCTTAATATAGGGAAGTAGAGAAGCATAGTGATAATAGCAGCTTTTGCATCTGAACAAGGTTCAAATCTATGCTGATCAGCTACTTATGAAGTTCAGTTTTCTCATTTTAAAAATGGAGATATAGACCTAGCCAGTTTGGCTCAGTAGATAGAGCGTCAGCCTGCGGACTAAAGGGTCCCGGGTTCAATTCTGGTCAAGGGGCATGTACCTTGGTTGTGGGCACATCCCTGGTGGAGGGTGTGCAGGAGGCAGCTGATTGATGTTTCTCTCTCATGGATGTTTCTAACTCTCTATCCCTCCCTTCTCTGTAAAAAATAAAAATAAAATATATTTTTAAAAAATGGAGATATACACTTCATAGGTATGTTTATTACATTTAATGTACCATTATAGATTAAATGAGCTCTTCCATGTCATACATGCTTATTAGAAAGTAGTTTAAAGAAAGATCTGGCCTATAAAATTGGTAAAAAATTTTAAGCTAATGTTCAGTTTCCATGAGGATATGGAGGATTAGGTCCCATTGTTGGTGGGAAGGTAAATGGAAGGCAGTTTTAGAATATCAATTTCAATTTATTTGACACATTAATTCTGCTTGTAGAAATTTTATTTATGGAAACATTCCACACCTGTGTACAGATACTCAATGTAATATATTTTAATGGCAAACATTTGAAAAAATTTTTAATTTTGCTTAGTAAAGAAATAATTAAATTGTAATAAATTTCTTTTATGGAATGCTATATAATTATTTAAATTATTATGTTGGTCTGTCATTGAAATATTGCCAGTATATATTTTAGTTTTTGAAAAAGAACCACCAATATATGACTTGAAAGTATTTATATCTTCAATACTTGAATTTTTGAAACAAGATTATATTTACTCTTCAGATTTTTATGTGAAACCATATAGGAAATATATTGATTGTAAGTAATTTCATATTTAACAATACTTATAAAATTATTAGTGTTCATGTTTCTTTATGCTTTGTTTTTTCCAATGATATTATGTATTATATACCAGGGGTATTTTTCAGCTATTTCAAGAAATACAAATTATCCTAAGGTAAAATATAGATGTTCCAAGGACTTTATTTAGGGAATATATATGAAAAATTTGATATGTATTCTATAATATGTTCAGCATTTTATTAGATAACTAGAGGCCTGGTGCATGAAATTTGTGCACTTGGGGGGGGGTGTCCTTCAGCCTAGCCTGAATCCCCTCCAATCTGGGACTCCTCGAGGGATGGATCAGGCCTAAACGGGCAGTCGGACATCCCTCTCACAATCCGGGACTGCTGGCTCCCAACCGCTCACCTGCCTGCCTGCCTGATTGCCCCTAACTGCTTCTGCCTGCCAGCCTGATCACCCCCTAACCACTCCCCTGCCAGCCTGATCAATGCCTAACTGCTCCCCTGCCGGCCCAATCGCCCCCAACTGCCCTCTCCTGCCAGCCCGGTTGCCCCCAACTGCCCTCCCCTGCTGGCCCAGTTGCCCCCAACTGCCCTCCCCTGCTGGCCCAGTTTCCCCCAACTGCCCTCCCCTGCCGGCCCAGTCGCCCCCAACTGCCCTCCCCTGCCAGCCATCTTGTGGCTGTGGGCACCTCCATCTTTGAGGGCAGGGCAGTCAATTAGCATATTCCCTCCTTATTGGCTGTGGGCATCGCCATCTTTGCAACAGCATGAGGGTAAATTAGCATATTCCCTCTTTATTAGATAGCGTATTAAAGATGCAGCTGGGTAATAGTTCCTATCCATACTTGACTAATAATCAAATGAGTGAGTACGGTGAAAGCAGATGAAATAAGTAAAATATATAATTGTATGTGTATATATGTATATATGTATATATACTAGGTTAGGGTTAGGGTTAGGGTTAGGGTTAGGGTTAGGGTTAGGGTATGCAGTTGACCCTTAAACAACATAGGTTTGAACTACACAGATTCACTTATACATAGATTTTTTTTTCTCATTAAATACTTGTACTGTTTCTAAGTTACAGATTTTGGTATCCAAAGTTTGGGAACCAATACTCTACAGGTACAAAGGGACAACTAAGTTTAAAAGTGACAATCAATAGGTATTAAATAAGCTATCGCCGAAACCGGTTTGGCTCAGTGGATAGAGTGTCGGCCTGCGGACTGAAGGGTCCCAGGTTCGATTCTGGTCAAGGGCATGTACCTGGGTTGCGGGCACATCCCCAGTGGGAGATGTGCAGGAGGCAGCTGATCGATGTTTCTCTCTCATCGATGTTTCTAACTATCTCTCTTCCTTCCTCTCTGTAAAAAATTAATAAAATATATTTTTAAAAAATAAGCTATGATAAACAATGGAATATTATGTAATAATTTAAAATAATTACGAAGGCCCTGGCCATTATGCTCAGTGGTTAGAGTGTCTGCCCACGCATCAAAGGCTCACAGGTTCAGTTCCAGCTGTAGGGTTCTATCTGGTTGTGGGTTCACTCCTGGCCATGTCCCGGAGTGTGCGGGAGGCAATTAATCGATGTGTCTTTCTCACATCAGTGTTTCTCTCTCACATCCATGTTTCTCTCTCTCTCTCTCCTCTCCTTCCTCCCTCCCTCCTTTCCATTTTCTTTGAAAGCAATGCAGGGGGTGGGAAGGGTATTTTCAGGTGAGGATTAAAAATAATAATAATAATTACTTAGATGCATAGTTATTAACAGATAAGATCCACACCTATTAAGAGAGGGAAAACCAGTTTAATACATGCCGGAAGCCGGTCCATCCTTGCTGCTTGACATATTCTATGCCATGGTGTAACCATTTGTCATGTATGCTGAAAATAAGTGTAATCCAATGTCTTGAGTTCCTGGTTTTGACAAGTAGCAGATTGATTTGCCACTCAATGTTCATTCCCTAATCCCAAAAGTGTGTGGGAAATGCCTTGTAAGAAAAGCAATATGATAGTCTTACTAGTTTGTAAATTATAAAATTGTGTTTGACAGTGTTAGGCATTCTATAATTCATGACATTTTAAAAAATTGTATTTTATCCTTCTTAGGCCGAATACATCAAGCAATGGTAACATCTTTAAATGAAGATAATGAAAGTGTGACTGTTGAGTGGATAGAAAATGGAGATACAAAAGGCAAAGAGGTAAGATCAATCACGGAATTAAATCTTATTTTTAGTCCAATTATTACATTTTTTAATATAAAGCAAAACAGAAAAGCATATAGTTTTTATATAGTACGTGTGTCATTCCTTAAACATTCAACTGGTTTAAAAAAATTCACCCAGAGAAAGGTAGATTTCGCCTGTATATCTTATGTGATTGGACATATAATTAAGACCACAAAATTCAATCTTAAGAGAGATTTCTGCCCTAGCTGGTGTGCCTCAGTGGTCAGCCTGTACACCAAAAGGTTTCGGATTTGATTCCTGGTCAAAGGCTTGTACCTGGGTTGCAGGTTCGATCCCTGGCCCTCATTGGGGTACGCATGGGAGGCAACATGTTGCTCTCACATTGATGTTTCTGTCTCATCGATTTGTCTCTCTCTCACATCAGTGTTTCTGTCTCCCTTCCTCCCTCCCTTCCACTCTAAAAATCAATGGTAAAAAATAGCTTCAGGTGAGGATTAACAAAAAAAATACATAAAATATAATGTTCTTTCTTCACATGGTAAATACTAGAGCAGAGAAAATGAGTAGAATTGATTTTGATAGGCCACATGCAGAAAAAGAGCATTTTAGATTAGTATTTCCCAACCTTTTTGGACTCTGATTTCTTTTCTCAATAATTTATATTAATATCATTAATTTGTATAATATGATAATGATTTTAAGTAAAAAGTATTTTGCATTAGTATAGTACTAAAAATTGCTTTAAGAATTTTTATTCTATGTTCAACAGAGTCATTGTTGACTTACATAGTAAGGAAACTTTTTAATAATTATAACTATTTAGCCCTGGCCGGTTTGGCTCAGTGGATAGAGCGATTTTAGATAATCTAGCTTTCGAAGTAGTACCATTCATTAGGCTAAAATTATTTAACTTCTCTGTAAGTTTCTTTGAAAAATAAGGGCTTAATTGTCAAAATACACTGAAAATACATGTGGTTTTTAAAACAGATTGACTTGGAGAGCATCTTTTCACTTAACCCTGACCTTGTACCTGATGAAGAAATTGAACCCAGTCCAGAAACACCTCCACCTCCCACATCCTCAGCCAAAGTAAACAAAATTGTAAAGGTTAGTGATGAAAATTCAGAGCTGTGTGTGTGTGTGTGTGTGTGTGTGTGTGTGTGTGTGTGTGTGTGTGTTTGGTTTGAAATTGGCATGCTGTAGGAGTGTTTTTTAAGTATTTGTTTGTTTTTTAAAAAACAATGCTTTCTGCCATTCAAATGCATATATATATATGTACACACACACACACACACACACACATATATACACACATATACACTCCACATATTTTCAAGGATTGAGGTTGTCTAATTCACAATTACAACAATCTATAATAATAAAAGTGTAATATGCTAATTAGACTGGACATCCTTTCAGAAGACCTCCCAGAGGAAGCCGGGACTACAAGGGAAGCCAGTGCCAGCAGCCGGGGGAAAGAAGGCCTACTCTTGCACGAATTTCATGCATTGGGCCTCTAGTCATAAAATAAAATCCTTGCCCAGCAGGCATGATTTAATGGTTGAGCTTCAACCTGAACCAGGAGGTCACGGTTCGAGTACAGTCAGTGCACATGTCTGGGTTTCGGGCTTGATCCCGTGTGGAGTGTGCCGGAGGCAGCTGATCCATGATTGTCTCTCATCATTGATGTTTCTATCATTCTCTCTCCTTCCTGCTCTGAAATCAATTTTTAAAAATATTTTTTAAAAATCCTATAAACTCCTTGCCTGGTTAGGGTCTTTCCTAAGACTTATAGCTTCTCAGGAGTTACAGGTCAAAACAATTTGCTTATCAGTATTTGTTGAATGAATACAAATGACTTTGATAAAGAAAGAAGGACTGGTTTTATTCATAATAAAGTCTTACTCCAGTTATCTTATCAGTGAAGATAACTTTAAAATATGCTATATCCTCTCCAACAGTTTTATCTTTATAAAAAAAAGTCATGTTATTTTTATTATTTTAAAAGATAATTCCTTTACATTGCTATTGAAATTTCTCACTATTAAAAATTTGGGTCAAAATACAACTCTTGTTAAACTAGGTAGTCCTTCAAAGTTGTTGAATCTACAGTTTTTTGTGTTCGACTCAACAGGCATTTGTTGATTTTTCTACAATGTTGATTTTGTCACCTACAAAGATGAATGTGACATGGCTTTAACCCTATTGGAACTCGCTTTCAGGGAAGACATACATAGAAGCTTAACAGTTATCATCAAAACCTGCTTTTTAAACCATGCATATGAACATAAGACAGATTTTCAGTTCATATGATTTCAGCATATTGAGAATCACTGCTTAGAGGTCATTAGTTACCATTTGTAAACAGACTATTTTTCTTATTTGGCTTCACAACCTGAAGGATCTTCATAGTTGACACTTCTGGATCTGTCATAAGCAACATTTGCAGTGCCTTAGAATCACCTGGAAATTTTTTTTTTTTTTTGGCTCTTTTCAGTTTATTGCATGAAGGAGTTACACTAGTCCAAGTTAAAAGCAGACCCCAAATGGTTACATTATACAAGCTGTGAGGTTTTTAAACTTGTGACAAGGGACAGGAGGGAAATTCTACTCATTGCAAAGAAATCCTCACTTAAGCTTCTGTGAGCCAAAAGCACTTAAAACCCATGAACCTTCAGCTGGTCGTCCTTAGCCAGTCCAATCTCGACAAGGAACTGGCATATGTTCTTGCGCTGGTCACCCTGCAGCTGAATTACTTCTCCATATTCTGGATGCTCAATTACAGTACCATTGCAGGCAAATTTCTTCTTGAAGGCCTTCACTAGTTTCTTTTTATCGTAATCATCAGCGATCCCTTGGACAGTAGTAAGGGTCTTCCTGCCGTTTCTCTGTTGGATTCTTATATGGATATAATCCTCAGTGCCAGCGGGAAGCAGGTCATCACCCTTACTTGCATCAGCAAAGGGGTCTGGGAAGAAAGAAGCGAGGGGGGCTCAAGGGGGAGGTTGCTGAGTCCTCGGCGGCGGCTCAGTCACTGGCGAAATTTTTTTAAATTACTGATTCCTAGACCTGCTCTAAGAGATTGTTTTATCTAAAGGAAGAACTCTAGCATTAATACCTTTTTAAAAATACCCATGTGATTTGAATGTAGTTAGCGTTGAGAACCACTGCATTATTTTGCATCTTTTTTTTTAAGGTAAATAAAATGAAAGTCTTGGTAAATAAATAATAGGACCAAAAAATTGCTTCCCTAATCTATGCAGTCTTTGAAAGTCTATGAAATCTTTTAGTATAACTAACTGTTCATCTCATAGTATTTTGATCTTTCAGCTTAACAATGGGCTGTAAGTTGTCTAAAATTAGTATTTCATTAATTTCCCCCTGACATCCAAAGATGAAATGTGTTACATAGTTTTGGCAGGATAGCATGATGATTAAAAGTGCACCCTTGAATGAAATTACTTAACTTTTCTTTGCTTCAGTCTCCTTGTCTATGAAACTGGAATAGCAATAATAATAACTCATAGGGTTGTTGTGAAGATTAAGTGAATTTTATTGTGAAGATTAAGTGAATTAATACATGTAAAATCCATAGAGCAGTACCTGGCTCATTATTTCTGAGTATTTTGGGGGTAGAGAATACTCATAAACTTGAATATTAATAGCAGTAATTCATTAGGAGATTATTTGCAGTTTTTCTTCATTTAGTTTTAAATTATTGTATGTCTGCCTAGGTTTGTTTAAAGGAAACTGATTATGATATATTGATGAGGAGTAAAGAGAGAAAGTTAAATGAACATTTCTCTTTTATAGAATCGACGGACTGTGGCTTCTATTAAGAATGACCCTCCTCCAAGAGATAATAGAGGTAAAGTAAAAAATTACTAATTTTGCCTATTGGCCCTGACAAGGTAAATCAAAACTAAATATTACCCTTGAAGCATTGTTCTTAGTCTGCTGAGATCCTGCTCCCAGGCATGTTTGTTTGGCTCAAATAAATTCGAATAAACTAATAGAAATGTTCTTTTAAAAACGGCAAATATTACCCTTGACTTTATTATTTATTTAAACTTTACATGGCTAATTTTAAGATTGGTATCTTCTTGATTTCCTAATATAATATTGATAATATAAAAAATTTATAAATTTACAAAACTCCATGATATATGCAATATTTGATTCATCTAATGTACCCAATAATTTTTCAGATTTGAGTAGTGTTGTGACAAAGAAGGGAATGAGGAAGTAGTCTGTTGATTAATTTCACAAAATTTTGACATTTTATATAATTTTTTGGCTAACAGGCTTCCCAAAAGGGTCATGGGTATCTTTGGAGTCGGCTTAAAAAAAAAGTTGAACAGGTATAAATTTTAGTTAATGGCAGGTCTTTCATATATTTTCAGCCAGGAAGTATAAAGCATAGTTAATTTCTTATTTACTATTCGGCAGTTCAGAATGGTACTTTCTAATAGTGATGTTCCTCTATATGTATGGATGAGTTAGGAAGGATGGGCATAGGTATTAGAGGAGAGATCGGAAGTAGAGGGAAAGTTCTGTACTATGCACACTATCCTTTGAGTCTTGTGAAAATTTATATATCTTTGTAAAATGTAACACTTATATTTAATTTATAATGCTTTTTACACATTTATAGCATTCACAGTAAGAAACTCTCTGCTTAAGATTTGTGTATTCGAGGAGCAAATAATTGGATTTGGAATATAGGGAGGGTTAAAGGACTTAAGTTTTTACTTTCCGTAGTTCTGAAGTTTTCAAAATGAGAATGCATTTAAAATTTATATTTTGTACACTTATATTTTTAAATGATTATTAAAAATTAAGTTTGGCTTTGGTTTTTATATAAATTATTCAGATTGAGTTTTATAGTTAAAACTACATTGATGGCACCTAAGTCTGCACATATTATGCCGAAAACCTCTTAGCTTATTAGTTTATTGAATATAATTATTATATATTGTTTATGTGCACATTAGTAGAAAAACTGACAATTTGCTAATGCAACTTCTAAGTTATCAGTTCTTTTCAGTTACCTCTGTTCCTTTAACCAAGGTTCACCTCTATTAATTTTCTGTTCTGAATTCAAAATTTTTGTTTTACTTACAGTGGTTGGTTCTGCACGTGCACGGCCTAGTCAGCTTCCTGAACAGTCATCTTCTGCACAACAGAATGGTAGTGTTTCAGATATATCTCCAGTTCAAGCTGCAAAAAAGGAATTTGGACCTCCTTGTATGTAAATCATGTATCAAGGATTCAGTCATTTTAGGCATACATGTATTCTCTCTTGGTCATCTTTATATATCCCCAAATGGTAAACAGTCGAATTGCGAACTTGATTGCAGATTTCATTTTACCACCGTGGAAAAAATTTAAGTATTTCAGTTGCTTTGAATTTTAAATTCTGGGCAGATGATAATTTGACATCTTTATAGAAGAAATTCTTATGCTTCTTGCTTCAAAGATCTGTGATTCTAAACCAAGAGATGACATGTATCAATACATTAGAGTCATTTTTCTTGACTCTTATTTGTATATTGTCCTGTTCCTAGTTTTGTTAAAGCAGCTCATTAACTAAAGTTCATGTAGTTGTTATAGGCATGCTTTGTCACTGTGTACTTTTATTTTAATATGTGATGAAATTACACATAAAATTGTGTGTATAAGTACAATACTCTAAAAAGAAATCTATACTTTTACAGCTCATCTTTTTCTTTCAGCACGTAGAAAATCTAATTGTGTGAAAGAAGTAGAAAAATTACAAGAAAAACGAGAGAAAAGAAGACTACAACAACAAGAACTTAGAGAAAAAAGAGCCCAGGTTTGTAACCTGAAACATATTTTGTATATGTACCAACTGAAGGTCAGACTGTGTCAGTGAAAGTGAGTGACTTAGGAAAAAGTAGTTGAGGCGTTCATTTAAAGATTTCAGTATAGTTCTTTAATTGATATTGAGGAATAATATAAACTCTTGTGAAAATAAGTTATAACAGATTTTACTACATGTACTTCTCACGTTTTAGTGATTATGTGTTAGTCCTAAAGTTTGTTCCATTTTTAATAAGCTATTGTGTTACAGAATTCTAATATAAGAATAATAGGATTTTGACTTTTTAAAAATACCTGAAACTACATTTGGAAGAACATTCAGTTAAAGCACATGATTACATTATAAATTTTATTATTGTTTTTCCATTTTTCAATAATAAGGTCAACATAACACATTGAAAGTGGGGAAATTTCTTGTGTTTTGATTTTTACTAGATATTGAGAGTGTTACTGTGTTGTGCCCCTCTTGTGTTACCGGTAGCAAAACTTTATTAGCATCGGAAAAATTGCATAGAGAACTGATCTTTTATCTCTTTATAAGTCTCTCACATTAAAAATTCTGTTATTATACGTAAAACTCCTCCCTTGTGCTTATATGATATACTCAGAACTTGTTTCCTGTAATAAAACATCAGGATATTTTTTTTTTTTTTAGGAGTATTTTCAAGTGCCCTTAAGGGCATTTGAAAACAATTTTTACTCATAAAGATGTTATGTTTGGGAATTGTAGAACCAGCATAATATTCACCCTGAGTAAATCAGCTTCTATCTGAAGGTGATCTGAGAATGACCAGTTGGGTTTTGAAATAAATAATACACAAAAGAGCTAGATCTGGGCTCTGGCAGCTTGAGGCTGAATGCAAGTAACAGTCACAATGATTCTTCAGAGGCTCTTCAGGTTCTCTTCTGTCATTCGATCTGCAATCTCAGTCCATTTGAGGAGGAATATTGGTGTTACAGCAGTAGCATTTAATAAGGAACTTGATCCTGTACAGAAACTCTTCGTAGACAAGATTAGAGAATATAAAATTAAGCGGCAGTCATCTGGAGGGGCTGTTGATGCTGGTCCAGAGTATCAGCAAGACATGGAGGGAGCTTTTTAAGCTTAAGCAAGTGTATGGTAAGGTAGACATGAATATGTTCCCAGACTCCAAATTTGAAGTCCTGGAAAAACCCCAGTCCTGAAGAAATGTAAAATTTATCTGGTCATGTGTCCTAGATAAGTTGTATAACTGATCAGTATCAGAAGTAACATACATTTCAACAACTGTCAAATATTCTTTTATTCTGATTCCAAAAAATTATTTGGTGATTGGGGGGGGAGGGGGCGGGCCAAATCTACTGATACTTAGCACAGATGCCACCTGGTGTCTCCTGTGGGTACTTCATAATATTTTCACATAGCTTTGTGGTATCTTAATTTGCACTTTACGTAGTACTTCTCAATTGACATAGCTGGTTAATATTATTTCCTAGGAGTAAGTTTCATTAACAGTTTTTAAGTTTAATTATATTCCAAGCAAATCTGCATATGTTGTATGAAAAAATGTGAAATTGCATAGAGAACTGATCTTTTATCTCTTTATAAGTCTCTCACATTAAAAATTCTGTTATTATACGTAAAACTCCTCCCTTGTGCTTATATGATATACTCAGAACTTGTTTCCTGTAATAAAACATCAGGATATTTTTTTTTTTAGGAGTATTTTCAAGTGCCCTTAAGGGCATTTGAAAACAATTTTTACTCATAAAGATGTTATGTTTGGGAATTGTAGAACCAGCATAATATTCACCCTGAGTAAATCAGCTTCTATCTGAAGGTGATCTGAGAATGACCAGTTGGGTTTTGAAATAAATAATACACAAAAGAGCTAGATCTGGGCTCTGGCAGCTTGAGGCTGAATGCAAGTAACAGTCACAATGATTCTTCAGAGGCTCTTCAGGTTCTCTTCTGTCATTCGATCTGCAATCTCAGTCCATTTGAGGAGGAATATTGGTGTTACAGCAGTAGCATTTAATAAGGAACTTGATCCTGTACAGAAACTCTTCGTAGACAAGATTAGAGAATATAAAATTAAGCGGCAGTCATCTGGAGGGGCTGTTGATGCTGGTCCAGAGTATCAGCAAGACATGGAGGGAGCTTTTTAAGCTTAAGCAAGTGTATGGTAAGGTAGACATGAATATGTTCCCAGACTCCAAATTTGAAGTCCTGGAAAAACCCCAGTCCTGAAGAAATGTAAAATTTATCTGGTCATGTGTCCTAGATAAGTTGTATAACTGATCAGTATCAGAAGTAACATACATTTCAACAACTGTCAAATATTCTTTTATTCTGATTCCAAAAAATTATTTGGTGATTGGGGGGGGAGGGGGCGGGCCAAATCTACTGATACTTAGCACAGATGCCACCTGGTGTCTCCTGTGGGTACTTCATAATATTTTCACATAGCTTTGTGGTATCTTAATTTGCACTTTACGTAGTACTTCTCAATTGACATAGCTGGTTAATATTATTTCCTAGGAGTAAGTTTCATTAACAGTTTTTAAGTTTAATTATATTCCAAGCAAATCTGCATATGTTGTATGAAAAAATGTGGTTTCTGAGAATGTTCAATAATTTATTACTCATGGCTGGGAGAGGCTATTATTAACTACTAGTGGCCCGGTGCATGAAATTCGTGCATAGGGGGTGGGTGTTCCTCAGCCTGGCCTGCACCATCTTCAATCTGGGACCCCTCGAAGGATGTCCTACTGCCAGTTTACAGGGATTGGGCCTAAACCGGCAGTCGGACATCCCTCTCACAGTCCGGGACTGCTGGCTCCTAACCGCTCACCTGCCTGCCTGCCTGATTGCCCCTAACCACTCTGCCTGCCGGCCTGCTTGCCCCCAACTGCCCCCCCGCAGTCCTGATCACCCCCAACTAACCCCCACTGACAGCCTGCTCGCCCCCAACTGGCTCCCCTGCTGGTCTGCTCACCCCCAACGATCACCCACAACTGCCGTCCCCTCTTGGCCTCTAACTGCCTCTATGTCGGCCCCACCACCATGGCTTTGTCCAGAAGAACGTCCGGAAGGTCTCCTAGAAGGTCTCCCAGTCTAATTATCATAATACCCTTTTATTAGTATAGAGGCCTGGTGCACGGGTGAGGGCTGGCTGGTTTGCCCTGAAGGGCATCCCGGATCAGGGTGGGGGGTTGCCTTGGGGTGTGGGGCAGCCTGGGCGAGGAGCCTGTGGTGGTTTGCAGGCCACCCACGCCCCCATGGGGTGAGGGTACCCGCTGGGGGGGGGGCGTGGCCAGCCTGGGTGAGGGGCTGAGGGCTGTTTTCAAGCTGGCCACACCCGCTTCAGGCTGGGGGTTCCTGCTGGGGTGCCTGGCCAGCCTGGGTGAAGGACTGATGGCTGTTTGCAGGCTGGCCATGCCCCCCAGAGGGAACCCTCACCCCATGGGGGCATGGCCAGCCTGGGTAAGGGGCTGAGGGTCATTTTCAGGCTGGCCATGCCCCCGGCAACCCAGGCTCCCAGCTCCTCCTTTTTTTTTTCCAGCCCCTCCTTGAGTGGAGGCCAGGGCCAGCTGGAAGCCTGGGTCGCCCCTGACCCAGGCTCCCAGCCACTCCTTCAGCGGCAGTCAGGGCAGGCGGAAGCTTGGCTTTCTCCATTGCCGGGAGCAACCCAAGCCTCCTGCTCGCTCCAGCTCTGTGGCTGCCGCCATCTTTGTTGGGTTAATTTGCATACTCACCATGATTGGTGGTGTAGCGGAGTGATGGCCAATTTACATATTTCTCTTTTATTAGTGTAGATTGCTATTTACTATATGTTAATCTGAATTTCCTCAGTTTTGAAGCAAAAATGTAAATTGCAGTTGTTAAGTTTTTCTCCAGGGCTGAGTAACCAAAGAAAGAGAGGCTGCCAACTCCATCATTATATAAAGAGTTTATTGCCTGGTCATGTGGCTCAGTGGTTGAGTGTCAACCTATGAACCAGGAGGTCATGGTTCGATCCCCAGTTAGGGCACAGGCCACGGGGGTTGCAGGCTCAATCCCCAGTGTGAGGCGTGTAGGAGGCAGCCAATCAATGATTCTCTCTCCTCACTGATGTTTTTCTCTCCCTCTCCCTCTCCCATCCTCTCTGAAATTAGTGAAAATATATACTTTTTTGAAAAAGCCTTTATTAAGGGAATTTACATGTATGTGAGGTGGCCTTAGTTGGTGGCAAGAAGACATGGATATCCGTCATGTGGCAGGCGCTAAGGTGTTATATAGGATAGGGCTGGATGGATAGGGGTCCTGTGGTGTAACTGCCCCAGTTGAGGGGGAAATGCCTTACATACTTCCCCAGGGCAGCATGCCTGGGGCATAGGGGAGAAGTCAGTTTCTGAGAGGATTTAAGGGAAGCATCATTCTTCTGGCCTATGTCTAGCAGGATCTATTTGGATCTAGCAGGAGGGACAGCAGCAGTCAGGCAAGGTCAGGAAGTGGTTGTGTCATAGAACAGTCTCTCCTCCATAGCAATCAGTATCTAATAATTTGAATATTAAAGATTTTAAAAATTATCTTGGCTTTTGATTTCTTTAAATTCTATATCCTATTGATTTGGAAGTGTTTTACCTTGACTTAGTTTTTTTTTTTTTTTTTTTTAAAGAGAGCCAGCAAAAATAGAAAATTAACTTAAATGAATCCATATTTCTATTTTGCTGAATCACTGGATTAAGAATTGGGAAGAAGAATCTGATTAAATGAATATTTCTAGAATTTCAGCTTTTCTAGAGATGAGTACTATTTCTCTTTTGTTCCATTTTCTAAGAATAATTAAGGTATATGTATAGTAGATGAATTTTTGAATTATGTCAAGGGTGGCTTTAATAAGGAATGTTTGGTTTAGAATTAACAATATGTGTAGACCTACAAAATTGTATTTTTAATTTAAAAGTGATTCCTAAGCATATGACTAGTCATAACTGAAACTAAAGTATATCACATCTTCAGTTTGAGTCTGAGCTGAGCTAGGGCAAGTGACATAATCTGGTAGTTTAATTTTAATTTTCAAACTATATATAGCACCAGTGCAACAAATGCTGTATTACTATAATTATAATAAATGATGATTCTCTTTGTCTTCTTGTAGGATGTTGATGCTACAAACCCAAATTATGAAATTATGTGTATGATCAGAGATTTTAGAGGAAGTTTGGATTATAGACCATTAACAACAGCAGATCCTGTAAGATTTTTTTGTAAATCATTGCTCTGGAACTCTGTACTCAAATAAAAACATGTTTGATTCTAACTAAATTAATATTGTATTTACTAGATAAATTTTCCTTTCTTATGTGCCCATTTCCTGCATTTTAAGAAAAATCAAGAAATCATCCACATTTATGCCTCTCTTCCATAATTGATTGTATCAGACATGCTTCCTACAGAGATGTCCATTTCAAAGCAAAGCCTTCCCTGTCTTTGGTAGGACAGAACAATAATTAAAGGACTTATGTCTGAACACCCAATTTCCTTTATTTCCTCTTTGGCTTGTGCTATAGATCCCACTGTCCAACTTATTTTAATGTTATTTTGGCTTTATAAGTGATGGTTGTTGAGGACTGCAATAGACCAGAAATTTAGTGCTCAAAAAGTATTCTGTCTTATTACTCAATTCATTTCCTATTGAAGAATAAGAATTTATTGGACAGGGAATGTTTTTGTAATTGGTACTTATGAAAAATAATCCATCTGACCTAGCATATACAGAATGTAGTATTGGGTACACAAAACACATTTGTGTTCAGCAGGTGTATTATATAGGATTTAATAGTTGTTCATAACATTTACATCCCATATATTTGGGTACCTCTCCCTGTGGGTACCCCTCCTTGCTACCCTTACCTTTGTGTAATTTCCTGTCTCTGAGCTCATACTTTAGGAAAGGGATTAGCAAACTTTTTCTGAAAAGGGCCTGATGGCAAATATTTTTGGCTTTATGAACCATATGATATGGTATTTGTCACAACTACTGAATTCTGCTTTTGTAGTATGAAAGCAGCCATAGACAACATAAATGAATGGGTATGACTGTTCTAGTAAAACATTACAAAAGGAGGTAGTAGGCTGGATTAATCCTGCAGGCCATACTTTGCTACTCCCTGCATTATAATAATTATTTTTAAAAGGCAAGTATTGGGAACATAAATTTTATGAAAAATATTTATGTGTAAGAATTGGCATATTCAAATTATTTTGCTCAATAATCTCCTGGGAATCATGTTTCTTGTCTATATAGTTATCTTTTCCAACAAGTTTCCCTGTAATCTACCTGAAAATACACCACTTGCTTTTGTTTTATATAGCACATCTTAAAGTTAATAAGGCAGCTTCTTAACATGAACTTAATGCTCTACAAGGTTATTAATGGTTTACCATACAACAGAAAAAATAAGGGAGTCTCCATTAAAATATGTGCAAGTTAATTTGTGGGTTTTTTTTAAGCTTATCCTATTTATGCCATACCTAAATTTCCAAAATCTCTGAAGGAAATGTTGTAAAATTGACTTCATTGTTTTACATAACACTGATAATCACTGAAATATAATATTTTCTTTCTAGATTGATGAACATAGGATATGTGTTTGTGTAAGGAAACGACCACTCAATAAAAAAGGTATGATGTTTATTGAGTTGTAATAAAGGTTGATTTTATCCTGCTTGTAATAGCAAAAAATCAAATTGGTTGGGGACAGTTCAGTGTAAATTATTTTATCTGTATATAACCTTTCTGCAGATTTCTATGATTAATCTATTGATTTGTTACTACTGTATGAAATGTTGCCATTTCTGGTTCTTGCTTTAAGAAATCTTGATTTTTTTACTTTGTTATTGAAATATTCTGTCTTATTGAGTGGGATAAGAATTCACTACTTATATTTGAAGAACTCATTACTTTTTTGTACATTAATGCAAATTCTGTAAAGTTCCTGGGCATTGATTTTCATTTGTTCTTTTAGAAACTCAAATGAAAGATCTTGACGTAATCACAATCCCTAGTAAAGATGTTGTGATGGTACATGAACCAAAACAAAAGGTAGATTTAACACGGTACCTAGAAAACCAAACATTTCGTTTTGATTATGCCTTTGATGACTCAGCTCCTAATGAAATGGTTTACAGGTAGGTAGATTTGTTTTAAATTTGAATTTTGTTCTCACATCATGTGCTTATTATTACCTGAAACATATTGATCTTGGTATATCTCTCCAGAGTTGTTACATGCTTTTGTATTCTGAGTTTAAACAAAGAAGAATATATAATAAACATTGTAATAACTATTAACACTTGGTCTCTTTAGTGCTTCCCCAAACCATAGTTTCCATTACTGATTAACTTATATGCATATCACACATGTATATGGATAGGAAATTTATAAAAAATGTTGACATTTTTGTACCTCTGAGAATGGGAAGTAATTAGAGGAGGACTTTTTTTTTAAAAATTTCTATACTATAAAGAAATTTGAAATATTTATTATACAACTAGTCTAATTTGTCTAAATATTTAGCTTGTACCACCACTTCAGGGGGAAAATGTGCTGTAAATCTACTTGCATTTATCTAATTTCTATCGTCTTTAAGCTTTGGGATAGTTTTAATACATGAAATTCTTGTATGTTAACATATTCAACTTATAAGCAGCTCAAATTTAATATATAATATATTGATATCTCAAACTTTTATGCCAAATTTGGATTTTCATATAGGCTTTGTAAACATTCACCTCTAATTATTGTAACAGGTTAGTTTAGCAGCTTTGTTATTTCAAACTAACAATTTATTTTAATGCTATTTTCAGTGACCTTTTACTTTATAAATATGATTACAAACAGAAAATTAAAGAGTTGTTCTGGCCAGTTAGCTCAGTTGGCTAGAGCATCATCCCAAAACATTAAGGTTGCAGGTTTGATCCCTTGTCAAGGCACATACAAGAAGCAACCAATGATTGCATAAATTAAGTGGAAAAACAATTGATCGTTCTCTCTCTCTCTCTTTCCCTTCCTCCTTTTCCCCTTTCTTTCTTTCTCTCTAAAAATCAATGAATTAATATATTTTTTTTAAAAGAATTATTAAGTGTCTTAAGAATTGAAGATGTTATAAACGATATAGTGTTGAAACCAACTCCATTGGTCTTAAGCTGGCAAACTGGAAGTTTAGTTGTAAAGAAAGAGGACAAAATTAAAGGACATTTGAATACTAGACAGAATTTTTTTTTTAATTCTGGGGTACATCTTTAATACTGTCAACAATTAACAATTATAAACTGTATATTTTTTACCTTTTCTGAGAATAGAGTCTACTTCCCCCTTTCTCTCTTCTTCCATTCCTGCCTATAAAATATGTCTGTTTGCCTTTTATAGTCATTTTCAAGAAATTATAAATAAAGATGTTTTTGTATATGCCAGGTTTAGTAAACATTCTCTGTTTTCAACTGTATTTATGCTTCTTAACTACCAATATTAATTCTACTCCCTTTCTCTTAACCTTAACTTTATGGATTGAGGAGTTAGACCTTTTCTTGTCTAATCAGGCTCATTTCTAGAACTTTTCCTGCTCTTTTTGTATGTTCTCCAGTTGTGCCTTTAAGAAAAATATATCAGTGGGACTAAGGGGGGAAGGAAGTGGAGGGGTTCATCTGTAATACTGTCAACAATAAAAAATAGTTTTAAAAAATTAATTAAAAACATCAGAGTTGTATATAGTATTTTATATATATTATTTTGAAGTCTATATAAAAAGTATATTTGTTTTCTATTATACCTTTTAGTGCTCTTAGACCTTTTAGTGCTCTGCTCAATAAAATATTTCTTGACCTTCCTACCTTTTAATTTTAACTCTGGTGGTGATTATACTCATAGGTTTGAAAAATCCATATCATAATGTTTTGGCATCCCTTTTTTAATTTTAATATATTTTTGTTGATTTCAGAGGGTAGAAGGGAGAGGGAGAGAGAGATGGAAACATCAGTGAGAGAGAATCATTGATTGGCTGCCTCCTGCACAACCCACAATGGGGATCAAGCCCTCAACCAGGGCATATGCCCTGACTGGGGATTGAACCATGACCTCCTGGTTCATAGGTCAACACTCTCAACACTGAGCCATGCAGGCCAGACTAGCATCCTTTTCTTGAATCAAGACTATCAACTCAGAACTTAATTTCTTATAAGCATAATTTATTTTTACTTGTCCACATTCAATGAAATATTATTTTTCTGCTTGTTTAGATAGTCTAAGATAATCGCTATATATAAAAGCCTAAGTGACTGTTCAACCAGTCACTATGACGCGCATTGACCACCAGGGGGCAGACGCTCCCTGGTGGTCAGTGCGCTCCCACAGCAGGAGCGCCGCTCAACTGACTGGCAGGCACCAGACGCTGGGCTCACTGGGCTCATGGCTGGCGAGCACAGCTGCAGTGGCGCAAGCTTCTCCTGTGGACACTCCCCCTGCGCACTTCTTCCCCTCATCCCCCAATCCGGACGGGGACCGACATTGGCATTGGGACTGATGGCATGAGCCCACAGCCACGTCCACTGGTATCACCCTAGGACAGGCGCATGGAGACCACAGCGGAGTGGCAGCGAGCCTACCAAGCGGTGGCAGCGGCAGGTGCAGCAGGGCTGAGATGAGTAGGAAAGGCGCAGCGCCTGGCCTGGGCTCAGGCTCCTCCCCAGCCGCCTGCCACTTTGCGCACTACTACATCCCTTGGGGGATGTAGGACTGCCGGTTTCAGCCAATCCCTGCAGGCCAGGCTGAGGGTCCCCACCAGTGCACGAATCTGTGCACCTGGTGTCTAGTTTAAGAATAACTCTGTGTTTTGTGTACTCACACTTTTTTGTATGTAAACCTACTTTTGCCCCACCTGGTATATAACAAAAAACAAAACAACCCTGTATGTTTTACTTATCTGGCTAATGTTACCATCTTTTGTTATTTTTCTAAACTTTCCTATGGTCTTCTATATATATAGCTCAGTTACCGTTAGATTTTATTGTCCATCATTATTGTGATCTTTATTATGGAACTAGGGGCCCCGTGCACTAAAATTTGTGCACTCGGGGGCGGGCAGCCCAGCCTGCGCCCTCTTTC